ACAATTTAGTAATGAAGTTATGATTAGGAAAATGTGGAATTAAGCAGAAGTCAGCTAATCGTCTTGCAGGATGAGAAAATTCGAAATTTCGAGCCTTTGATGTGAAATTTTTTGAGGTGAGGGGATGGGATAGAGAAGGGAGGATAACACTAGCAAGAAAATTTTTATTAGGACTTTAAATTTCTGTTTGAATTTTTATTTTTTGAAGTTTTTGAACTGTTTGTTAGCAATAAACAGGATAAAATAAAAGCGTTATGTGTGACTATTTCCACGGATATTTTTATATTACTGAGATGGAGGTACACATGAGGTACATTTACCTCGGATTCTCTAGGTGCTCGATGATTATGATCACTCAGAGCAGTCCAGTTAGAATATTTTCACTATAATTTTTTTGGCTTTTTTTTACTACACCCGATTTTTAAATTTTTATAAAATAATTTAAAGTGAACAAACTAATTTTTTTTACGCAAAAATTTTGCATGCTCGAGCTGAAAAATATTTTAAGCAGCATAAAAAACTACGTAATGCAGAATGAATAGTACGGTTAGGAAATTCGATAAAAAATATTGTTAAAGAATGATTGATAAGTCTGCAAAGAAGGAAATAAACGTAGAAGACTAAACTAATAAATTATTGCTTTCAAAAAAATCGTTTGCACACATTTTAGTACATTTCTCTTGGAGAACAGTTCACTGAAGGGCTGCAGTTTTGCCCACAGTTTAATAAGGAAATTTCCGAATTTTTAGATCTCAAAAATTTTGAAGTCAAACAATCACCTTCCCTCTTCCCTTCCCCCTCCCCTCCCCCCTCTCCCCCTCGCCCGTCCTCTTTTTTTCCATCCAACATACTCTGACAAAAGAAGATATTCAGTTTTAGCTCAACTGATAGTACTTTCCCATCAGAAACTACTTGCTAGCGAGGCTCCAGATAGTCCCTTCTTTTGTACTTCTAGAAAAAGTGCCCGACTTGAAATTCTTAGCAATAGTACAAAATTTCGATAATACGTTTATTTCTACGTCCAAGCTGTCGATGTAGAATCCTCGACATTATCGAAACCAACAATTTTTATTTAAAAACAAGTAAATGAGTGAGCTACCTCACGCTTGGCGCAGATGTACCATCGGACGGCGGGCCGAGGAGTGCTCATGACGGCGGCATGCAGACGTGCATATGTTGTTGTGATGCAGGCGAGGGCGAGCAACCTTTCTTGCTATTATTAAAGAATGAGCAGAAAATGCAGGAGCGGTTGTAAACTCGTTTCGCGAGGGTGGGGCGTTATGCAGTGTTATGTCAATCTAGGATGGGGCCAAGGGTGAGCACTTGCGACACCGCGGCAAGACCGGTTTCCAGAAGCTTTCATAAAAGGCAGTTGCACAACCGAGAAGTGAAATAAGCCAGTGCCATCGCCAGCATTTTCTTGGAAAGCTCCCTTCGACCACTCTGCATGCTAATAAAATGCAGCAGTGCTATTAGTGGCATGCGCGATAGCGCAGGGAGCTTCTCATTTAAAATGGAGCATGGATGCTCTGATATCAAGGGCTCGATCGCGGAGAGTTCGAGAAATTCTTATCAAATTAGACTATGCTGCTAAATATTATTAATTTAATTACTTTCTTATATGTTGCAGCAAAGAGATTTGCAAAAAAGAACGAGCAGTAGTTGTGCTACTCTTCTCGCATTTTCACGTAAATTTACTTTAATTTACGCTATACGTCTAGTGTGTTGCTTAATGTATAACTGCAAGACGATGCGCCAACTTCGAAGTCCTGAGTGTATTGTAGAAGATTGATGGGAAAAAGAAGATTACTTTGTGGCGCATCAAAATTGTGAGCGAAAACTCGCTGCTGTTAGGACAGCGCGCGAAAAATCCGTGCTTTTCTATTTCCAGTACGAAAGGAGTACTTACAATAACAAGTAGATTAAAAATACGATATTTTACTGCTCAAATTTCGCTCTTCCCTGCCTCCCTTCCTTTATTTGATTACCTCATCCCGACAGAATACTGAAAGATTTTTATTCTCAGATAAGCTGATTGATTTAAAATGAATTGAGCTAGCGGTGAAATTAAGCAAATACACATTTCTGACAGTTCTCCTTCTCCCTCGCGTCTTCAGTCCTTCCTGTTTTGCTGCCCTTCAGAGATCCCGCTCTCAGTGCAACTGAACTGATTCACTGCTCTATTGATCAATAATTTTTTTTCAAAAAAGTTGATAATTTCAGTGCTAGATATCCTTTAGAAAATTTTTTTTTTTCTTGAAAACCAACTTTTCAGAGTGAAGAATTCGGTGGAAAGTGTGCATAATCTCGGAGCACTCTTGGTTTCATCGTGAGGAATCGGTACAGTAGCTCGGCCAGTGAACTGTCATTTTTCAAAAATAATAGTGTTTTGAAAATTATACTAAAATTTCGTTACCAATAGTATTAATTAGATACGTAAAAAATGATGTATTAAACATGATGGCATCAAAAATTGCTGGAATTTGTACTCACAACAGGTCCTGACCGAACCAGCGTATCCACTATACAGAATTTAATTCACAGAATTGAACGGAAAATAGTTAAGAAATTAAATACTGTTCACCGCCGGAAAAAGACAAATAGGAGAGTAAAAAAACTAACAACGGCTGGAGTTGCTCTAGCAAAAAGCGCACTGATCCAGCGCACATTTCGAAGCAAATTGCACAGTAAATTTTTCCGGCTGCTCGGCTTTCGATCCGGATCAAACTTTTCAGGCCCTGCTGAATTGTCCGAATAACTCGAACTTTGCTTATTACCCATACGGGCAACGTGCTGCCGACCTCTTTTCTTAAAGAAGCGCTCTCGTTTTTCCCGCAAAAAATAATCTGACGTTTTCCAGTCTTCAGGCAGAAATTTGGAAAAATTGCACAGAATATGCAACAAAAAATTATCAGTGACTTGTGAAATTTATTAGCAAAAATAACATTGTCATGCGTAAATCAGACAATTTCGTATTTTCGTCGCCGCTTCTCAGTAATAAAAATGAAGTGGAAGAGAGGTGGCTGCTACAATAACCACTGTTGCTCCAGGATTCTGAAAAACAAACAAAGGGGAAGTTGCTC